CGAACAAATCAACCCAGAGTTCTCACTCAAGGCACAAATGACCAGGATCAAATTATCCTATTTCAGACACATGATGCGAAGATCCAGCTCTCTGGAGAAGGCTGTAATACTGGAAAAGGTGGAAGGAAAGAAAAGAGGATGATCAGCAGCAAGGTGGATGGACTCAGTTACAGTGGTGATGGGGGCGTCACTGGAAGACCTGAAGAACCAGGTTAGGGACAGATCATCATGGAGAAATTCTGTCTATGTGATTGCTAACAGCTGACAATTACCTGAGGGCATGTAATCAATCAATCAATCAATCAATCAATCAATCAATCAATCCAAAAAGACTCCAAATATTTCAGGGAAAATCTCTCATGTGATCCTGCAAGAATCTTATAGGCAATAAATGACACCTTGAGAAAAATGTCAACTAGCAGGTTCAGTCCAGTTTGCAAAAACCAGTTGGTAAATTGTCCCACAAGTTACAGCTACACCAAAACCTCACAGGGATCAAGAAAAGCTTGGAACATCTCTGACAAGGATTGGACTTTGCATGCCCAGGCAAAGCTAGACTCCTGGTAGGGCTCTAGGCTTTCTAGGCAGACAGAAGAATGGGGAAGAATGTGAATTTATATCTTAGCTCTAATTGCATTGAACATATGAAGATTTAAGCACCTAATGAAGAACTTCTATTTATTCCTTTTTAGCAGAACTCAATGTGTACAATTGTGGTTTATGGAGAATTTTCCCTTGTTTTTTTAACTGTACACATACGCACATATATATTGTCTCTGGACACAAAAATGTGTTATATTTAATCAGTTTGAAGCAAAAGTGTGTGACCATCAGGTTTAGAAATGCAGCTGATGCCTCTTAACTAGTGCAGCCTTTAAAACTGTTTTAATTAACTGTATACCACATTAGCAATATTAAACGGAGGGTGGGTTGCAATTAGATAAGAATAAAAATTCTCTTCTTTTGTTATAACAAGGATAGACTTTCTTAATTTAGAAACTCCTAACATTGATTTTTATCATATTGATTGCATTTGCTAATTATTTGTTATTGATTTGTTTTTAATAATAGTTAAAATTGATATATTATCTTTAAGTGTACAGGTAGTCCTTGACTTATAACCATTCATTTAATGACCGTTCAAAGTTACAATGGCACTGAAAAAAATGACTTACAACTGGTCCTCACACTTACAACCGTCACAGCGTCCCCGCAGTCACGTGATCAAAATTCAGGTGCTTGGCAACCAGCATACATTTATCATGGTTGCAGTATCCCTGGGTCATGTGATCGCCATTTGCGACCTTCCCAGGGGGTTTCTGACAAGTAAAATCAATGGGGGAAGCTGGATTTGCTTAATGACTGCATGATTTGTTTAACAACTGCAGTGATTGGCTTAAAGATATGGCAAAAAAGGTTGTAAAATCAGGTGTGTCTCATTTAATGACTGCATCACTTAGTGACATAAGTTCCAATACCAATTGTGGTCATAAGTCAAGGACTACCTGTAGTACTAATGTAATGTTACTTTGAAAATTCTTATTCAATTTTATATAACCCATAAATCTTTTATTTTTTAATTTTTCCTTCCTTCCTTCCTTCCTTCCTTCCTTCCTTCCTTCCTTCCTTCCTTCCT